GTATTGTCCGGAGTAAACCTCTTCTCAACACTCCCCACTACCCCACCCCCATCCAGTGATTCCAACCCCAGCCCCTCCCCTAAACCCCCCATTCCTATTCCCAAATACCCTCCTCCACTAAGAATCCAAAAGCAACGCCACCGCACTTTACCCCCATCAAGTTCCCCCTCCACCTCCAAGTCTAGCCCCGCCTTCAAAACCCATCACCACAATTCCAAGTACTACAAGCCCATTAAACCCGGACAGAAAATAACCCCGCCCGATGGCGAAAGCCGTGAGATTATAGTCGGGAATTCTGGAATTTCGTATTATTTACCTGATGCCCCATTTGAATTTATGTACAGTTATTCAGAGGTGCCAAAGGCGCAGCCTTTGGCTATGCGTGAACCGGCTTTTTTGCCTTTTGAACCACCCACCATGTCCCGGCCTTGGACGGGTAAAGCGCCCATGAAAAAGAGTAAGAGAAATGTTAAGCTCTTTGAGCCGTTGGGTGTTGTTGAAAATAAGGTAAATGGAAACGTCGGTGAAAAAAGATTTAAAATGTTCAGGGCTTATGAGTTGGGGAAGGTTATTATAAGGCCGCGTGAAGAGGTGTTGGGGGAGCCATTGACGAGAGCGGAGATCAAGGAGCTGTTAAAACCTTGTGTCTCTAGTAATAGACAGGTGAATTTGGGTGAGTTTTTGTTTCTTCAATCATTTTCCTTATAGGGATTGAAGAGTACGGTATTAATTTTGACGTTTTGATCTTGGTGAAGTTTTGAGGCAGTCAATATTTTCTATTACTCGGCATTATCTTAGCATGTAGCTGTTGAGTTCTGCCTAAGTTGTTTTAGCGTTGATATAGTTAGTTTTTTTGGACATCCATACCATAAATTGGAAGGTGAGATTCTGTAGGTTTCTCTCTTTCGTGTTTTTGAAAGTGTATGTCATGAATCTCATGATTGAAGTTACATATCCAATTACCCTGTTGTGTTGATTAGGAGAGGAAACCTTGTTAGCTTTGATGGTGGTATAAATTTGAATATTTTTACTTGTGGATTAGGTTTCAAGGTTGTGAAGGGCGTTTATTCATTTATATATTGGATTCTGTAGGTAGGGATGGATTAACTCATAATATGTTGGAGTTGATACATACACATTGGAGGAGACAACCCGTTTGTAAAGTTCGCTGTTTGGGTGTTCCAACTGTTGATATGGACAACATATGTCGTTGCCTTGAGGTTCTACTTTGGCATTACTTTAAATTATGTTCAATCTATTATTCTAGTTCTAAGTATGGATCTCTAAAAAGTGATATATTTTCCCCTCCAGCTTTTTAATTGGTTGTTTCCTATTCTTGTAGGAGAAGACCAGTGGAAAGATCATTAATCGGGTTGGTGGAGTAGTGTATCTTTTCCGTGGCAGAAACTATGATCATCAAAAACGTCCAAAGTTACCTGTGATGCTTTGGAAACCGGCTGCACCAGTTTATCCGAAACTCATACAAGAAACTCCAGAGGGGTTGACAAAAGAAGAGGCCGAGGATTTACGAATTAAAGGAAGGAGTCTGCTTCCAATATGTAAATTAGGTAATTCTTTAAATTCTCTTGCAATAGATATATATTGTGCTCGAGAATTTGTTTTCATTTGGTCTGGAAAGTTCTACACCCTGTTTGGTACAAATTAAAATCTAGATTTTAATCTAGGTCAAAGTCAACAATTAATTTTAACCACATTCTATGAGTCCCACAATTTTTCAACCACACATTCATCAGCTTCTATCAAAATCTACTAAAAATCTAGGGATTAGGCTTTATGCTTGGGTTGTGTCTCTAATTTTTAAAACCAGGCGGCTCATATATTCCAATGATAAGCTGTCTTTTATGGAACTGTTTTCAAAGAGAGACAGAGAGAGATTATGGAACTGTTTCTTGTTATGCTTCTTCCCTTCTGCAGTGAGGCCGCTTTCCCATCTGTCATATGTAGACCACATTTTCTCGAGAATCTTCTTATCAGTCCTCTCTATTTCATGAGGGTCCGTAAACATACTTATAGTCAGCTGTGTAAAGACATTTTAATTGTTTGATATCTGTCACAAGCTCAGATTACATGAATGTTGTGCTTTCTTTTCCTTTTAAATTAGAACTACTTGATCTCTGTATCTTTTCAATTATTTACTTGTATTCGACTTTCTTTCTCTTACAACAGCCAAAAATGGAGTCTATGTTTCCCTGGTGAGGGATGTGAGAACTGCTTTTGAAGGATGTCCACTGGTGAAGATTGACTGCAAAGGCCTGGATGCTAGTGATTACAAGAAGATAGGAGCTAAGCTGAAGGTTTGTATTTGTTTATTACCTACCATGATCATTTGTGGTAGCATATTTGCTCCTCTTTTACCCCCTCCCCCACTCTCCAGAATAAATAAATGCGATAATTGCTTCTAACTCATTCACCTTTTCTTCAATGATAGGAACTGGTTCCATGTGTACTTTTATCTTTCGATGACGAACAAATATTGATGTGGAAGGGAAAAGACTGGAAATCTATGTACTCGAATGAAACTCCTAATGTAAAACCGTCTTATACTGCAAGTGTTACCAGTAACTCAGGTATTTGTGGAACTATAATCACATGTGAATGCAATTGCTGACATTGCTATGCTACTGCCTTGCAGTTTTTCTACAATTTCTTTTCTAATGGACGTATTAAAACTATTTTTTCTTTTGTGGGACCTGGGATTTTTCGGGGGCAATCTTTCAATAATTGTCATGCATGAACTATTGGTTAGGAAACTTAAACCTTTTTCTCTTTCATTTTCATACCTCAACTTGCAAATTAGCGATTAATTCTGCTCGACTATTTCAAAAATTTCTTTTTATAAATGATGTGCTGTACGTTTTCAGTTTCTAATTTTTATTCTAATGTGTCGTTCATTGAAGTAGAGAGTAGGACCGGTAGGGGAAAAAGTGTGTGTGTACTGAAAATTTAAGAGGTCACCTCTTTCAGTATGGAAGGGTTGTATCACCCAAGTACAAAAATATAGTTGGTTATTGACCACTAAAGCTGCCAAGATTTACCATAAAGGGAGCTTAATTTGGCCGTTCAGACAACTTTTGTTTAATATAATCTAAGATTGCTGCTCTGCATTAGATGTTTGATTGCAAATTATTTTAGTTTTAGTAATATACAGCAGAATGGACTAATACTTTGAGA